TCGGCTCGGAGCCGCCCCAGCCGCCGGGTGCGCGGTGCATGGTGCGGGGATACACGGTCTCGATAATAAATGATAGAGGATACAATGACTTTGCTCTCTCTGCTGGGTCGGATCATGCGTTACTTCTTGCTCAGACCGGAGACCCTGTTTTTGCTGTGCATCAGCCTGGCCCTGTGGAGTTACTTCTTCCACACGGATGAGGTGAAAACCATTGTTAAGTCCAGCAGGGATGCGGTGAAGATGGTGAAGGGCAAGGTGGCCGAGATCATGCAGAATGACAGGCTCGGGGGGCTAGATGTGCTGGATGCAGAGTTCTCCAAGACCTGGGAGTTCAAGAGCCACAACGTGGCCGTCTACTCCATCCAAGGCCGGAGGGATCACATGGAGGACAGGTTCGAAGTAATCACTGACCTGGTGAACAAGACTCACCCCTCCATCTTCGGGATATTTGATGGGCACGGAGGAGAGGCAAGTGCTCAACTGGGAAAAAAAAAAATAAAGGGGTTGGTGGTGGGGGAGCGTGGTTACACGGCAAGGAATGGATGTGTTCTTGCCCACCAGATTTGAATGGTTATCTTGGGAGATTGTTGGGGTGGGGGGGTGTCCTTGCTTGGAGCTGGGGAGAGAGTCTCTAAATAGGGATTGAGAGATAGTCAATCCCTTTATCTTTAATTACCCCATCCACAATTGGCACAGTATACATGTGTTTGTACCCCCCCTCTGCCCTTTACGGTAGTAAAGGTTTAATTGAAGTAAAAGCCGTTGGAGGTGGCTGTTACGTGCGTGGAATAACGATGATGAGCACGAACTCCCTGGAGTCATCTTTTGTTACAGCGGAGTGTGGTGTGATCTGATTTTGGCACAGGGCTGGCCTCTCCCTCCTGTCAGGAGCTGTGCTTATCAGCAGTGGTTACAGAGGAGTCCCCTTAAAGGCAGACGTGTGCAGCCTTAAAGCTGGTGTGCATAAAATGTGTGTTGCAGTAATTCACTCGCCTGTGAAGACCAGCGAGTCACTGAGTGTCGTGTTTGTGAATTGCATTTAGTTTTCGAGTCTTTACAACTGTGCTGTCATACTTGTCCCCTCCCTAGTGGAAAACCAGGAAAGCAATCATTTTGAAAGTTTTTGGTGTTTAACCTCTTAACTTTTTTAGGCAGGGTGACTTCCTTTAGGTTGTTCTATGTAATTAGTGTTACAGCTTCATGGGATACTTTATTTATTTCAAATGACAAATGTTGAAACTATAGCTTCCTTTTCACTTAAGATTGTGGTGCTGCCACATAGCTTGTATAGCACAAAGCACATGTTTCATAACTGTGAGAAAGGACAAAGAATTTGTCCTTGTGTGACAAATTAGCTCTAGCCACCATTATGCTGGGTAGGAGATTGCCTTGTGGGTTTTACTGGGATGATGGAAGCTGGAGAGAAATGTTGAAGTTTTTCACCTAAGTGCTTGTGCTGAGGACGGGTAAGGCAGCCAGAGAGCCTGGGTGTTCCTCCAGCTGCTTTCACAGATCAAGTAGTCCAGGTCCTTCCTAGATAAGCATTGACGGTGACCAGACGCTCGTGGAGCACAAGGATGCAGCTGCTGCCTCTCTAAACCTGAAAGTGCTGCCTGAAAAATCCAGGCCTTAGGCACATCATCAGAAAGCTGCTGTTCTGGTGCAGACTCCCTCCTGTAAAGGGAGTCACTCGTCTGTCCTACTGCCATCTCGCAGTGTCTAGCATTTTGCCCCTTTTAAAATAATGCAGATGCTTTGGACATTGAAAATTGTTGGCTTTGCTAAAAATTCTGATCATGATTGAACCCTGTTTTCCTTTTTACATCTGATTTCAGTTGGGGCATAGTTGTGCCAACTCTTACCGGCATACTTGTCCCAGTTCACTATTCCTTGGCTTTTGAGGAACACAGGTAGAAATGTCTATGTATCGCAAACTGGTACCCATGTTCTGCTGAAGGAATATTGGCTCTGATCAGAGCGCTTGGTTCAACCAGCTCCTTTGTTTTCTGAGGCTTTAGAGGAAGGTGCTTGTGCTCTGGCTTCTGCCTTCTTCCTCTTTCTTTGAACTGACAGCTTTCCGTGTCTGAACTGAGCAGCCAAAACAAGTTTGCAGCAATATCTGTGTCATGTTTTTAAACAGTATTCTGAGACGGTTACAGCTGGAAGTGTGATAGGCAATCTTAGACTTTGGCATTGCAAAAGGGAGATCTTATTTCTTTCTTTAATTTTGTATCATGTGTGTGTCTTGCCTGAGACTTGATTGCAAACTCTATATATTAAATAATCCAAAGCTAACACAGAGAATAGCTAAATGGCAAGAATGTGTTATGTGTATATTTTTTGCTTGGTTTTATTTTGGTATGGATCTTGTAATTACATCCATAAGTTAATGATAACACTGGGTCTGCGGGAAACTTATTTGTCTTTTGTATTCTGATTCCTCAGCACTTGCTCTGATTGATTCAGTGACAAAGTATGAGGCTTTTATAGAAAAGAGACCTGCTATTTTGAAAGGTTTAGCAGATCTCTGTCCAGACCTTACAAAAGTTCCTATTTTAAACATGTATATATCTAGTATCTGTTATTTATCCTTCTAATGAAATCTACAGATGTTCTTAGTTGCCTTTACTCCTACAAAAATTAGTTGCCTAATCACTGGGGACATAACTAGTTTCTAGCTTTAGGTTTTATATAAAACTGATCAGAAGAGCATGAGCTGTGTGCTGTGCATACGGCAAAAATAAATTATGAAAAATAGATTTTTAATCTAAGTGGGATTTGTAGTTTTGAGTAGAAAAGAGGGAAGGGAGAAGAAATAGAAAAAAATAATGCTCTTATTAAATCCATAGTACATAATGCTACATTTCAAGTCTCTATTTGAATTGGTTTTCTGGATGTCTTATTGTATTTTTATTTTAAAAACAGATAAATTACTCTGTGGAGCACTTTACTTACATATAGAGCAAAGCCTTTGTGAAGATTAAATTTTCCACATGGGCTCCCATTAAATTTTTTAAGTGTATTTAAAGAACAAAGAACTGCTAATCTCAGGAGTTACATGTGAAAAAAACTGTGCTATATGGGGGAAAAACTGTTTTTCCAAACAGACAGTACCACAAATGAGATGCTAGATTAATTCTTTCCAGCTATGTACAAGGCAGTGTGTCTGCAGTAATTACTTCCTGCCGTATCATGTTGAAGTGGAAGGATAGAGAAGCATGATTCAAGTAATACGAATTACTGTGTAGTGCTAATTTATGAAGATTTCTGGGTTTTGCTTAAATATTGCCAACAGTTTTCATAAATTCCACTTTGCTGTTATGTCATTTCCTTCTCCATCTCACAGTTTTAGCCTGAATAGGTCGGCAGCCATTTACTTAAATTTTATGGCTGGCATGATGAGAAAGTAATAAGCAAAAATAATTATTAATGTTCTGTGTTACAGCGAAGAATCTGGTGTGCTGCTGCGATTACTTGTTGAAGGCAATAATACTTCCGTGATAACACTTGATACGTGGTGTGTAGTGCAGTCTTTTTTTAATAAAAAGTTTGTTTCTTTAAGAAATAATAATAATGATGATGATGATAACAACAACAATAATAATAATAATGATGATGATGATAATGATAATGATGATGATGATGATAATAATAATGATGATGATGATGATGATGATGATGATGATGATGATGATGATGATGATGATGATGATGATGATGCAGAACAGGTAGTGGTCAAAGATGTAGACATAAAAAGAATGTAGAAAAGTTTCTGCGTGTTGTCTCACTCTCTGACTTTGGCCAAAGGAGTCTTCACAGTGATCTAAGTTAGAATAAAAAAAGAAGAGAAGAAAATATTTATCTGTTATCTCACCAGCTGCTTTATAAGGCTTAAAGATGGCTTGTGTGGGGTTTTTGTGGTGGTTTGGTTTTTGTTTGGCTGAGGGTTTTTTCCCTTTTTCCTTTATTCAGAAGCTTTGGGGCTGTCTAGACTGGAAAACAGAGAAGTGAAGAACTGTAAATGGTAAAATAACAAACAGTGAGCTTGAAAGCTGAGCAAAGGAGAGAATGGATGCTTAATCAGAATGATTTAACTCTGTTAACTAGCATTTACTAAAGGGTTCTTTTCTCAAATATTTAAGGTTTAAGCACTCAGTTTAATAAGTTTTCAGTGTTAGACCAGAACAAAGTAGCTCAGCTACCATCTGCAGTTTTATGGTTATGGCTATGTCACATATCATTGTTTTTTTCCTAACCCTATGAGGTGAAGACTTTAAAATAATTATAGTAATAGATAGTACCTTATACGCTGGCTGTGCTTGTTTGCAGTCATAAACTGATGTGGATAACAACGGTGAGAAATTAAAGCTCAGTAACTGTCTCGTAAAAATGTCTTGCTCTTTTTATTTCTCCTTAAATAAGAACATGGCAAGGCTTGTTCCTTATGTCCTGGAGGTGTGGATAAGAGCATTTTGCATGATCTAATTGGTTTTTAGAGTTGCTGATATAGTGTTGCAGTATGTGAAATACACCTTTTTATTTTTATTTGTAGTGTAGGGAAAGATTGGGAAGCTTAAATGTGAAAGGAAGGAGTTTGCTGTATAAATGGCGAGTGTTTGTAACCACATACAGAATCACTGAATGCTTTGTGTGCCACAGGATCTTGAAACCAGTAGCACAAACTGTTGGCAGAAGTCTCTGGTTACTGATTAACTTTTACAAAGACAAAAATAAAAGGGAAAGGTCAGAAGATAATGGAGAGAGTCCTTACTAGTGCTGTCTGAGACTATGGAAACGTGAATGCTGGTACGGCCTGGAGAAGAGGGCACTGTGCCAGCTGTGTTTAAATGAACCTGCTGTGCATTTTAAATACAGGTACTTGAAAGAATGATTAATACCTCCCTGATTCATTGGGGTGAACTTGCTGTCGTCTTCAGGCCCGCTGCCGAACAAGTTGCCGCAAGGTTGGGTTGGGAAGGGAACTTCTGAACTGCTGTGCACTATGGTAATAGCTCGTGTGCATATTCTGCTCCTTTAATGAACGTGAGATCACTTAAACTACTGTCAGCTTACCAAACATGTAAGGGTATCGACCGAGCAGCTGTAAATCGCCCTGTCAGAACAGGACATGGGATCTGGACACTTGTGTTCATACCAGTTAACATGATTTTTAACCTCTTCTTAAACTGATGACCTGAACTGACCTGGGTGTAGGCTGTGCTATGATCATGAGCGTCTTTTCAGACATCGATGGAGGAAAACGTATTCCATTAAATGGGGGATGGTAGTTGACAGTTGGAAGATGTTGTTTGCCTTCTACCAAATATGAACTAAAGAGCTAGTGTTTTTATTTTGGTGATCTTTGGATTTTTTTCTTTTCTCGTAGTTTCTGATCCTAATAGCAGGAGGTGTGCTGAGACGCTGCTGTACTGAAAGAAGAGAAAGCCAACAATTTTGGGGTTTTCCCTAAATTTATCCAGATCTGCTAATCCTAACTCAAAACCTGTTCCTTTGATACTGAACTACTTAAGCAAACTTAGCAGTGAAAATGTATGTATCATACATTT